CACACACGCACACATATTATATTCAACTCATATAGGAAAACATTAAACAGAAAAAATATTACTTTTTGCCATAAAATGAAAGACTAAATCAACCAAATTTGTGACTCCAGAAGCACGAAGCCCTCCCAGGAGCAATGCCATCCTCTGCAAACATCGGAAACAGCACAGCAACTGCAGCTCATCCTCAGACTTTTCTGATACTTCAAAGTACACCATCCAGCAGTTCCTTAAACAAGGTACCACCTGTCTATTCCCATTCCTTGTGCCTCTATAAAACATAATTGTAGATGTGATCAGAATCTTGTAAGAAATTATCATCCAATCTCTGACTATATATAATTTTATGACTTTACCACATCTTTCATTCATTTATCAATATAGAATTGGACATGTCCATGGACTCTAAGTCCTTCACTACTCACAAGGTGTGCATTCAAAAAGGTTATTGTTTTTCATTGGTCCAAATATAGGGTATGTGGGGAAATATCCAAACAAGGAGAAGAAAAAAACACCAGTATGTTTGTAGCTTCCATTCCAGTTTCCTTTTACAACTTTCCACCATGACTCATGACCATCCTTCAGGATTGGTGATCACAGTGACACTTCCTATGTTTAGAATTTCATCCTCTCCTCTCTTCATTCACCCCAGTATAATTCTATGCCAACCAAAATCCTTTCCTCGGGCAAACTTCACTGATAGCTACCTCCTGCAATAGAACACACCATGCAAGGGTTTTCTGAACATATCCTTTTTTTCCCTTTATAACACTTATCTAATAATTTAATGTCTTTCAATCCTACTAGAAAGAAAGTTGAGATTATAGGTTTCCTGTCCAGGAGAACAGCAGATAAGGGTGCAAAAATGAGGTGATATCTGTGTGTTCAAGTCAAATCTGAGCTTGCCTGTTTGGCCATGATTTGACCAGTGATCATCTTCACTTAGGCACAGAAGACTGCTCTCTACAGTGAATGGGGAGGCAACAGAGTGAAAGGCCAGAGGAGCATCGTACCATTCATCTTTGATCTAGATTCTCCCAAGGCCCAAGCTGCACTCTGACTCAGGCTGCAGTACCCTCAATCACCCCACATGTACTAGGTAAAGTCAGGCTATCTCTGTACGGAGGATCTCAATTTTTGGTAGATTTTTAGTTTGTTTTTGTTTTTGCTGCTGCTGATAGGGCCCCAAATCCCATTTTCCTCAATAAATTCTGCAGCTTATAACTTTTACCTGTCTTCCCTTGGGTGATCACATCTGGATCCTATGCCTACTCATTAACAGTTCAGATCCAATTTTTTGTCTGCTACTTCAAAGATGTAAGTAGCCATGCCTGGACAATTCTGATTTGAAGGGGACATGTGATGCTTTCTTAGGTGAAACCTTTCTAAATAAACAATATGGCCATTTCTATAGTCATAGGAGTTAGTCTGCTGCACCTAAACCTTCCTTAACCCAGGAATCCCAGCCAGGGTCATATATCTCCTATAGTTAAACACCCCACGCTTCTGTGCAGCTTGCCTTTGTCTTGCCCTGATATAACTCCTGCAGTTACCTGCAATTCAGGCTTGTAAAGCCTATACCAAAAATAAATGGGCAGGGAAATATTGACTAGAAGTAACTAGAGGAAGAGGAAGAGCAGCATTTGCGTCACTAGTCTCCAATGTAGTTTCTCATCCAAGTCCTAAGCTGTTCTGGAACCCAAGCTGCAGCCTCCAGCACTGCTCCACATACATTAGATGAGGACAGGATTTCTCCACATAAAAAAAGTTTTTCTTGTTGTTAGTTCTGAAAATCCATATTTCCGCATAGTGTCTCCTTGTTTTTTGGGGTAAGAGTTAGCTGCCTGAACCTGTTGCCATCTTGGCACTAGTGGCCCTAGGTAGAGCCCTTGTTGAGTCATTGAAATCGCAGGCCCACAGTCTTTCTGTTACAACAGCACACATGGACATCTCAAGACAGCACTCCTCTTTTCATAACGCTGGCTAGGAAGTGACACTTACCTGCCTAAATACGTAAAATGATCATTTCTATTTCCATTCCTCTGCTCTGAAACTCCTTGGAGTACAGGATCCAAGTCAGGCTCTTCTGCCTCAACACAGGATGGAGTCATTTCCTCTCTGGGGTCCAGCCATAGTCAAAGAAAGCCTGGAAAAATGGGGCATGACCATTCTGTCTGTGATTCACTGTGCAAACAGGAAAGCTTTGCTCTTATTCATCCAGTGTCTCCCAAATACTTTCTTTACAAGAAGTTCCTTTCTGATTTGGAGATTCAAAGCCAGAAACAGACTATTATCTGTGATTTATGCTGTTTTGTGTCCCTGAAGCAAGCAGCACAATGGCATGATTCATGAACTTGGTAGGATGGTGAAGGATTTACTCTGAAGAGGGCAATTTGCTTTCACGTTGAAAATATCTAAACAAAAATTTCAGCATCCAGGTTCTGCTATTTTGATGACAGTATAAGATTTAGCTTATTTTTAAACAACAGAGTCTCAAGCAATCTTGTAAATGAAATTACACTATTGTACATGGCAGGCCCGAAGAAAGGGGCCTCTGTTAAATTGTGCTTCCTGTATCACCTCCATAAAAGGTTTCCATTGACAGTGGCATCATAAAGCGTGAAATAGCTATTCTTTGGAGCAGACAGACAAACCCCTATAGACCATGAAAAAATGGCAATAAAGATATTTGTTTATTATTTACTAAGTAGAGTACTTTAAAACCCTTACTTTATGTAAATTATATCATTTATTCTTTATAACACCATATGGCAGTGTTATTGTTAGTTCTATTTCACATATGAGAAAACTGAGGTACATAGAAGTAAAAATCTCCTCAAAGTCACACAGGTAGTATTAGAGTCAAAATTCAAATCTAGCCTTATTGAACTTTAAAACTTAAACATTTGTGGACATAGATTGGATCCACAGTAGGTGTGGAAATGTCTGCTAATCATTTTTAAACAATTTTGTACAGATAGTGTTGTGTTTGGGGTTTTTCTCCATAGCCTTGGTTCTGGTAGTGATCAGAGACTGTACTAATCAAGAATCTTACTCCAGATGAGGGCACTTGAAGGAGTTAGTTTATATACCTATCAGCAATTGGCACGTAAAAAATTAGATTATGAGATACCAAAACTGGTAAAAGCTGTGCCAAATTGACCAGATATGATGAATATTTAATATACTTGAATTAAGATAACTAAAGACAGTCAAGGTGTGTGATTTTAGGTATTCCCCAACCTTACTGGAAAAGTGTATACAAATATCGCTAATGATATTGCTTTAGGTGGAACATTGAATTGGTCTGAATAAGGCTAAAACTGCTGAAAGATTCTGGGTACATGATCCATACTACAGATGTCACAAAATCATGACAGAAGGCTGTGAATTTGAGATAATTTTTCTTATGGTTATGATCAGGGCACCCAAAAGAAAGGAGACCCACCTGTGTTTCCAATGCATAGAAAGGCACATGATAGGAACTGGTTTGTGTATTTGCTTTATAAGAAAAGCATGGTTAAAATTGTTCATTAGTGTAGCCAACTTTGTTGTAAGCCATGCTTTCCCCATCACAAAAACCCCTAAAAGTTGTACCTGACTAAATGACTTAGGTCAGTTTTGCAGTACCTGTAGAGTAAATATTGCATCTCACACACTGAAATTTTATCATCTGAGTGAGTTTTATCATTTACAAAAGAAGTTATAATTCTGGTTGGGATGGGAGCAAGCTAGGTAATGTATATATCTAAATATGTGCTGTCATTCATCCTGCAACTCAGGAGAAAATTTGCAGGGTGAAGATTCATTTAACAAAGAAAAAAAGTGAAAAGAAAAGATGTGTTTCATCTGAGTTTTAAAAACATTAACTGGGAAAAGATAACACAAGTCTATTTTCCTTCAGAAAAATGAGGGCACAATCACCCAAGTGAATGACTACCTCAAGGGGCAGGTACCAAAGGGACAAAGTACACTTCCAGGATCATTCCTGACCGTCCAACATCCAATTAACAGCGGTCTCCAGCCTCCTCGTATGCCTCCAACAAATCCAAACAGCAGCTCCTTAACCAAGGTACCAGCTCCCCATTTCAAATAATTTCTCCTCCCAACAAGATAATGACAAGTATTAACAGAACCTTGAAAGAGCTTCTTAGCAATCTCTTACTATACACAGTGCTTATTTAATGAAATAATTCAATTATTTGAGATCCAGTTCTGACAATTATTATGCTTTCCTCTGTTAGGATAATCTTTGACAAGCGGACACCTGGTCATCTCTAGTCCATAAGTTCCATAAGAGGCAAAATTGGTCGTTTGTTCAATTTTATTTTTGTGTTTTTACTTTTTTTTTTTTTTTAACTTCAATACACCATGAAAGCAATTCTTCAGATGGAATGGGGTGGAGAAATACAGAGCCAACCAGAACAATAACACTGATTCTTTTTCTTTCATTTTCATTATATAAATAATATCATCCAAAACAATTTAGGAAAAACAGATACATAAGCTAAAATAATTAAATTGTATCAATTGTGAAATTTATCTTCTATCAAATAGCATATTATTTGACTTTAGTAGTCTATGCATTTTGTGTCAGGAGGCTGATCAGCTGACTATTATGAGATGATTGTACTGATTTTCTTTTTTCTCTCTTTTAATTTTTATTTTGAAATTGTGGGGTACAATTCAGGGTTAGGTATACAAATGTTCATTGTGCAAGTACCTTTATTGATGAGGTGTGCCCCCCAATTCCCCTGGTGGATAAGAATGTGCTTCCCAATCTTAGAAAGAATTGACCACATTGTGGGAAGTCAAATAAAGGCAAGTGCATTACTCACAGTCTATGGCCCATATAGTTTTCCAGGTCAGGTCACATTGAGCAGAAAATTGGCAGGGTTAAGATCCCATTTAACAAAGGAAAAAAGGGAAAAGAAAAGATGTGTTTCATCTAGTTTTGAAAAACATTACCTCGAAAAAGAGAACATAAATCTATTTTCCTTCAGAAAAGTGAAGACACAATCACCAAAATGTATGACTACAAGAAGATGCAGGTAACGAAGGATGAGAGTCCACTTCCAGGACCGTCTCGGACCAGCCTGCACACAGTTAAGAGCAGTCACCAGACTCCTTGCATGCCTCCAACAACACCAAACAGCAGCTCCTTAACTAAGGTACCAATTTCCTGATCCCAAAACTTTCCACTCCAAACAAGATAGTGGTAAGGATTAACAAAACCTTGAAAGAGCTTCTTAGCAACCCCCTACTATACACAGTGCTTTATTAAATTAAATTACTCAATTATTTACTAAATGTATATTTTGAGATCCAAATTCTAACAATTCTAACTATTATTATGCTTTCCTCTGTCAAGATAATCTAGGACCCAGTGGACACCTGATCATCTCTATAACATAAGGGGTATAGTTAGTCGTTTGTTCAACTTTATTTTGGGGTTTGGCTAGTTTTTTTTCTTTGTTTTTCTTCAATAAACCATTAAAGCAGTAATTGAGCTAAAATACAGTGGCGAAATACAGAGCCAACCAGAACATTAGCACTGATTTTTTTTCTTTTATTTTTGTTATAGAAATAATATCATCCTAAACAATTTAGGCAAACAGGTACATGAACAAATATTAAATTGTATCTATTTTGAAACCTCTCTTCTATAAAATGCCATATTCAGCCGTTGGTCTTTCAAATTTTATCTTTTATTCTGTATATGCAAATTGCATTATTTTCTCCCAGAATGGATCACATTACAATTTTTTTATAGTTCAAGGTTTTTTAATCAGTTAACATATTGACTTACCATTCAGTCAAATAATATAAATTTAAATTATTGTACTGTACAAGAAAAATTGCATGATGACTTTAATCAGAATAAAAATAATCCTACATTATTTGACTTTAGGATATTTCCCATATTCTCTTTACCTGCAACTAACATAATAAGAATTCATGTCTCTCAGAACTTCTTTCATTGCCCTCCGCCTTCTTTCACATTCCTTCCTTAGGTCCTGTGCACTTTGTGTCAGAAGGCTGATCTGGTGACTATTGTGAGGTGACTGTGCTGATTAATTTGTGTTAGGAATGTGCTTCCTAATCTTAGGAAGAGTTGGCCTTACTGATGAGAAGTCAAACTAAGTCAAGTGCTTTGCTCAAAAGTTACGTCCTGTACAATTTACCAGGTCAGGTCACAGAGAGCAGAAAAGTGACAGGGTGAAGATTCCATTTAACAAAGAAAAAAGTGTAAAGAAAAGATGTGTTTCATCAGGTTTTGAAAAACATCTAGAAAAAGAGAACACAAATCTATTTTCCTTCAGAAAAACAAAGGCACACTCACTAAAATGGATGACTACCTCAAGATGCAGGTACCCAAGCAAGAAAGTCCGTTTCCAGGACCATCCAGGACCAGCCAGCACACGATTAAGAGAAGTCCGCAGACTCCTTCCATGCCACCGACAACACCAAACGGCAGCTCCTTAACCAAGGTACCAGTTTCCTGTTCCCAATAATTTCCACTCCAAACAAGATAAAAAATAAGGATTAACAAAACCTTGAAAGATCTTCTTAGCAATTCCTACTATTCACAGTGCTTTATTAAATTAAATTATTCAATTATTTATTAAATGTATATTTAGAGGTTCAAATTCTAACTATTATTATGCTTTCCTCTGTCAAAATAATCTAGGACCCAGTGGACACCTGGTCATCTCTATAACATAAGGGGTGTAGTTAGTCATTTGTTCAACTTTATTTCGGGGTTTGGCTTGCTTTTTTGTTTGTGTGCTTTTCTTCAACAAACCATGAAAGCAGTACTTAACTGGAATGAGGTAGAGAAATTCAGAACCAACCAGAACACTAACGCTGATTCTTTTTCTTTCATTATCATTATACCAATAACATCATCCTAAACAATTTAGGAAAAACAGATACATGAGTAAAAATAATTAAATGGTATCTATTTTGATATTTCTCTTCTATCAAATGCCATATTGTGGCAGATAGTCTTTCAGTTTTTATCTTTCATTCTGTATATACAAAGAGGATTATTTTCTCTCAGAATTGTTGACATTGACACTTTTTGGTAGCTCAAGAGTTTTTAGTCTGTTAATATATTGAATTGCCATTCATTTGAATAATATATATTTAAATTAATGTATTATACCAGAAAAACTGCATGATTATTCCATACAACATAAAAATGATGCCATATTATTTGGTTTTAGGTTATTTCTCATATTCTCTATACCTGCAACTAACATAAAAAGATCTCATGTCTCTCAAGAGTTCCTTCATTACCCTCCAAGTATTTTCACAACTCCTTGCTTAGGTCCTGTGTCCTTTGTGTCACAGGGGCTGATGTGGTGATTGTACTGATCTACTTGTATTGGGAATGTACTCCTAATCTTAGGAAGAATGGCCACATCGATGAGAAGTCAAATTGAGTCAAGTGCATTACTCACAGGCTTTGGTATGCACAATTTTCCAGGTCAGGTCACATCGAGCCAAAAATTGACAGGGTGAAGATCCATTTAGCCAAGAAAAAAAGTGAAAGGAAAAGATGTGCTTCATCTGGTTTTGAAAAACATTACCTAGAAAAAGAGTATACAAATCTATTTTCCTTCAGAATTGCAAAAGCACAGTCACCAAAATGGATGACTACCTGCATATGCAGGTAACCAAGGAAGAGAGTCCACTTCCAGGACTATTTCAGCCCAGCCAGCAGACAATTACAAGCAGTCCACAGCCTCCTTGCATGCCTCCAACAACACCAAACAGCAACTATTTAACCAAGGTACCAATTCTCTGTTCCCAATACTTCCCCCTCCCAAAAACAAAATGACAAAAATTAACAGAACCTTGAAAGAGCTTCTTGCCAACCTCCCACTGTATACTGTTCTTTATTTAAATTATCCAATTTATTGAACGTATATTTCTAGGTCCTAGTTCTATTATTATGCTTTCCTCTGTAGGGATAATCTATGACCAGTGTATACCTGGTCATCTTTATTCCGTAGGGATATATTTAGTCATTTATTCAATTTTGTTTTTGTGGTTTGGTTTGTATTTTCTTTCCTCCAGTACATCATGAAAGCAATACTTCAGAAAGAATTGAGTGCAGAAATACAGAGTCAACCAGACCATTAGCACTGATTCTTTTCTTTTATTTTCATCATACAAATAATATCATTCTAAACAATTTATGAAAAACAGGTACATGGTCAAATATAATTGAATTGCATCTCTTTTTAAACTTCTCTTCTATCAGATGCTATATTTGGCAGATAGTCTTAGATTTTATCTTTCATTCTGTATGGACAAAGAGGATTATTTTCTCCCAGATTGGATCACTCTAGACATTTTTATAGCTCAAGTTTTTTTAATCAGTTAAGGTATTGAATTGCCATGCAATCAAATAATATACATTTAAATTATTGTACCATACAAGAAAAACTGCATGATTATTTCAAACACTATAAAAATGATCCTACATTATTTGACTTTAGATTATTTCCCATATTCTCTTTACCTGCAACTAACATAATAAGAACTCATGTCTCTCAGGTCTTCCTTCATTGCCCTCCAAGTAGTTTCACAATTCCTTCCTTAGGTCCTGTGTACTTTATGTCAGGGGGTTGATCTGGTGACTGTTGTGAGGTGATTGTACTGATTTGCTTGTATTGGGAATGTGCTTCCTGATCTTAGGAAGAGTTGGCCACATTGATGAGAAGTCAAATAGAGATAAGTGCATTACTCATGACCGTGGCCTGTATAATTTTCCAAACAGGTAAGATCTAACAGAAAATTAACAGAGTAAAGTTTCCATTTAGCAAAGAAAAAAATTGAAAAGAAAAGATGTGTTTCATCTGGTTTTCAAAAATATTACCTAGAAAAAGAGAACACAAATATATTTTCCTTCAGAAAAGCAAAGGCACAATCACCAAAATGAATGACTGTCTCAAGATGCGAGTACCCAAGCAAGAAAGTCCGTTTCCAGGACCGACCCGGGCCAGCCAGCACACGATTAAAAGTAGTCCCCAGACTCCTTCCATGCCTCCAACGACACCAAACAGTAGCTCCTTCACCAAGGTAATAATTCCCTATTCCCAATACTTTCTGCTCTTGACTAGATGATGAAAAGGATTGACAAAACCTTGAAAAGGTTCTGGAGCAATCCCCTACTATTAAAGTGCTTTATTAAATTAAATTATTAAATTACTTCCTAAATGCATATTTTGAGATCCACATTCTAACTATTATTATGCTTTCCTCTGTTAGAATAATCTATGACCCAGTAGACACCTGGTTATCTCTACTCCATATGGGGTATAGTTAGTGTTTGGCACAATTTTATTTTTGTGTTTGGCTGGAATTTTTGCTTGTTTATTCTTCAAAAAACCATGAAAGCTGTACTTCAACTAAAATATGGTGGAGAAATACAGAGCCAACCAGAACAATGGCACTGAATCTGTTTCTTCCATTTTTATTATACAAATACTATCATTCTAAATAATTTAGGGAAAACAGATACACGAACAAATATTATTAAATTGTAACTATTTTGAAACTTCTCTTCTATCAAATATCATATTTTGGCAGTAGTCTTTCAGATTTTTTTCTTTCATTCTGTATATGCAAAGTATTATTTTTCCCAGAATGGTTCACATTACACACTTTTTATAGCTCAAGATTTTTATATCAGCTAATATATTTTTGAATTGCAATTCAATCAAATAAGATACATTTAAATTATTGTACTGTACAAGATAAACTGCATGATTATTTCAAACTGCATAAAAATGATCCTATATTATTTGGTTTTAGATTATTTCCCATATTCTCTTTACCTGCAACTAACATAAGAACTCATGTCTCTTAGGACTTTTTTCACCGCCCTCCGAGTGGTTTCATCATTCCTTCCTTAGGTCCTGTGCACTTTGTGTTAGGTGGCTGATGTGATAACTATTGTGAGGTGACTATATTGGTTTGCTTGTATTGGTAATGTGCTTCCTGATCTCAGGAAGAATTGCCCTATCGATGAGAAGTTAGAGTCGTGTCCATTACTCACAATCTGTGGCCTGTTCAATTTTTCAGGTCAGGTCAGGTCACATTGAGCACTGCTGATCCTTGGAAGAAGTGGCTCTGTCTCCATGCTCTCTAGTCCTTAGAACTCCCAAGGTTCATTCTTGTTTCATACTTTCAGATCAGCTACAGACCCTCCAATTCAAAGTGCTTTCCTACAACTCAAAAATAGTTCAGGTCACTGAGGAAAGGGAAGACAGAGAAAAGTTCCCTCATGCCTAGCTTTTCCAGTTCCTTGACTGTCCTCAAGACCTCATTATTCTAACTGGAGATCCTCTAACTTAAACCCCTTTAAATTATTAATGCCCATGGTATTCTTCCAGTGGGTGCCTAACTAACATTTTTCAAATACAGCACTGATTCCTTAGAAAGGTATTTGTGATTTGGGGCTTTAAATGCCCTTATTTACTAGGATTATTTCCAGCTGAAATCTCATGAAATTTATTGCTTATGATAGAGACCATTCCTCACTCAGTTTTACTGAGATTTTCCCTTTTTTTCCCTTTGCTTAATAAAGTGAGTGGAAGGAAGTAAAATTGAGATTCTTTTTTTATTCTCCTCTCCTTTTTTTGAGTTGGTGTCTCACTCTGTCATCCAGACTGGAGTGCAGTGGCCGCTCTCGGCCACCACAACCTCGACCTGCTGGGCTCCGGTGATCCTTCCGCCTCAGCCTTCCAAGTAGCTGGAACAACAGGCACCCACTACCACACTTGGCTAATTTTTGATTTATTGTAGAGATGAGGTCTCACCAAGTTGCCCAGGCGGGTCTCAAACCCATGGGCTCAGGCAATCCACTCACCTTGGCCTCCCAAAGCGCTGGGATTACAAACTGAGCCACCGAGTCTGGCCTATTCTCCTATCTTTTGTTAGTCATGTCAAGACGGCATTGTCTTTACCCTCTGCTTCTATATACCTCTTGCTAGAGATATACCTTTTCTTTTTGGATTAATCTGCATTAAGAACAAAGAAGTTTTCTTTCTTCTAACCTCACAAAACAATGAAGACAATAAAATTGCTCCTTAAATCTTTGCCACTTTTTTCATTAGCAAAATTATACTATAGCATCTATCTTTTGTCTGCTTATTCCCCAACTTCATCCTATTAAATCATTCCTTTGAAGATCAACACTGATCCCGGGATGACTCTCACTAGAGAGTAACCTTGTCTTCTCTGTTTAAATTGTGCCTGTGTTTTGGTATGTACATTCTAAGTAGAAACCAAGATTGAAGACTGTTCTTCAAGAAGCTTCCAAAGAAGAAGGCTACCAAAGTGGCCCCAAAGAAGTCATGGTGCTGAGTGCAACAGAACTATTTGTATATACGCTAAAGGAGCAGAAAAAAATGTTTCATGCCACAGTGGCTACTGAGAATGAGTTCTTCCAAGTGAAGGTTTTTGACACTGACTTAAAGGAAAAATTCATCCCAAAGAGGATCATTGAAATCTCAGATTATTATGGCCGCAATGGGTTCCTGGAGGTATACCAAGGTTCATCTGTGTCTGATGTGAAATCTGAGAGAAAGATGGAGATCTCAAGCAGGGTGATTACAAGTGCCGAAGCGACTCCTAAAATCAGTGATCTTTACTCAAAAGCTAAAGAAACATTTGTGAATGGGGTGTTTATGGTACATAAGGTAAGCCAACACAGTTTTATAAAATTTATTCTGCAGCCCCAAATTTTAAAAGTCTTAACTTGTCAACAAGAGTTTGGCCAACATATAGGTCCTACCCACCGCTTTGTTTCTGCTCCCAAAGTAGTTGCACAGAGTTTTTCCACTTCAGGATACGGATATATAATATCTTAACATTTCTCTTTCAAAGGTATCACCATGCAAGCTCTTTAGGAATAGATTCACCAGGAAACCTTGGCACTTTATGAGCCTTGATGATCTAGTCCCAACCACATTGGTCAAGGACAGTACAGAGTTTATATCAACATACATATCCTCAGCATTTTGTTTCTTTGAGTTTTGTCCAATCTGTATCAATGAAAATTTAGTTGCAAATAAAACAGTTGCCTTCTCAAGCCTGGATGGAGGTTGTGAAAACTGGAATAAGAAATAAAATAGACTACTCTGTCCAAGAATATAGCTATGCCCAACAGTTAGCTAAGATTCTGATGATCTGAACTCCAAAGTGCTCTTATCATTTATTCATTCATGCATTCACTTATCACAAGATTCTCAGCAAGTGGCTTCTTCTACATTAAATAATTTTTTAAAATAGAAAAGTGTAAAGACTAGAGAAATCATGTAATTTAATCCTATAATTTATAAATAGGGCCAATAAAATGCAAAGAAGACTGGTGAATGCTTAGACTTATGGTATCTTTCAGTCTCAACACATTATATAAATATCATGTTTAACTGACCTCACTTATTATATGAAGTATTGTTTTATATTCTGTTTTGTATGTTTTCTAGGGGGGCTTATTTTGCCTGTGTTGTTTTCTGTATACTTTGTTTAAATAAGTGTATGCATATGCACATGCATGAACACACACACACCCACACACATAATATATACATACATATTGGGGGTGTCACAAAATGTATACACACTTTAAGAGATGTTATCTATGTTTACTTTTAGTTCGCCGTTATCAGAAGTGTCTGGATGCTGATGGTAACCACTTTGAGCACCTCGTATAATTGCAGAAGTCAAAAGTGACTTGTATTCATCTTTTGTTATCAGTATACATTATTACAAATTTAACAAAATTCTTCCTTTATGAAAATGTGTACACTTTTTGGCACCCTTTGTATATGTGGTGTAAGAATTAATGAGTAAAGTAAGAGAAACGGAAACCAAAACAACAATACTAGATGGATGATTTAGATTCAAGATTTGGGCAGATTGCTGAAGAGTGAATAAATGAACAGGACAGAGAAAGGGGTGACATACTGAAATAACAGTCTACTCCATGCAACTTGCAACAGTCATTCCCAGACTCACAATGAGCCATGAATGGCCTCTCTTCTCTCATCTTGGGGAGGTATCAAATTCACCAAGTTTAGCAGATTCCTTTGTATCCAGGTTCCTTTCAAAATCTCAGCTATGCTGATGTGGTAGCAGGAGAAATTAAAAAAGTAATCAATATTTTCTAGAAAAAATTCAGTAGATAAGGACCTTTCGAGGACTCAAAAGGCAGGATGTGCTGACCAGGTATCTCAAGCTCAGTGCCTATAATTCTGGACCTACAGCTCTATTTACGCTGCCAGAGACACAAGTTTCCACTAATACCCTGTGTTTCTCACAGATGTGAAAATGCTTGATCTAGTTCTCAGAAGATTGATGTTAATTTTCTTTTGCAGAAAAAAGTGAGGGATGAATGCACTTTTTATGAAATACAAGATGATACAGGGAAGATGGACGTGGTAGTATATGGACGACTGACCCATGTCAACTGTGAGGAAGGAGATAAACTTAAACTCATCTGCTTTGAATTTGCACCTTCAAGTGCGGCTAAGTGGCAACTGAGATCAGTAATTCACAGCTACATCAAGGTAGGAACTTCATGGGAACATCACCTTCCAAACTGGCAAATTATTTTGTTTATACTATAAAAAACTAGATTGACTCTTATACACAGAGTCTAGCAGGTGGAAAAGATCTAAACCTTGCACTTTAGTGTGTGTAAACTTTCTCTCTTTATTTATTTATTTATTTATTTATTTTATTTTATTTTATTTTATTTTTTTGAGTTGGAGTCTCACTCTGTCGCCCAGACTGGAGTGCAGTGGCTGCTTCCGGCCACCGCAGCCTCGACCTGCTGGGCTCCGGTGATCCTTCCTCCTCAGCCTTCTGAGTAGCCGGAATTACAGGCATGCACTACCACACCCAGCTGATTTTTTGATTTATTG